TACTGAAAACATAGTCCACAAATATACAGGGCTAATAGCTATGTTTTCAATCCAGTGCTGTAGACTATAGTAATACTGAAATGAACTTTTTGACTGGAACATAAAGAAACATTATTTGATTCCCAGAGTAACTTTTTGTGATAGGGAATGTCTGAGTTTTATTTTTTTCCTCAGCAGTTAGTAACAAGTTCAGTTTTATTAATTATTTTTTGTAGGTTCCCTAATCTGACAGCTTAAAAAAATTAAGTCATGAACTCTGCTTCAGTTGGTTAGCTATGTAAATCACAGTACTTTATTGTGAATTTCTTAAACTACTATTGTCCTGAAAGCATAACTAAGACGACCTATTCGTTTAGGTGGTTCTTTTTAAAATTGTCTGTGTGGTAGTATGCTTTTTGTATCACTTATACTGTTGTATGACTTACTGTAGTATGGTTATGTACAGGTCAAAAGTGTAGGGAGAATAGTTTGAGAGGTACCGTGAGCTCTCTGCAAACATGCCTGTCAGTGCAGTTGAGTGTCTTGTGCATTTTACGTGTTACTCAAATGAAAGCAAATAAGGAAAATGGGAGAGGTGCATGTGTATGTAATTCAAAAAGGAGGATTTACTTCATCACAACTGTGTAATTCAAGGTCATGTTTTCTAGTTGTGGCCTTTATCTGAAACGTTCTTATGTAAGGAGAGGAAAGATGTTGGGTCAGAAATGATGGAAATTTTTATGGTCTGAATAAGCACAGTGCAGAAAATACCAATAGTTCACATAGCCATTCTACCCATGTATGTGCATGCTTGCAGTTGCTCGCAACTATCCCTGAATATCAATCTTGCATATGTCCAACCTTTGATTCTGAGGGCAACCTAGCACACAATATGAAATGCAGTGCTTTAGGATTATCTTTAAATTAGAAGAGCAAGGAGGAGAGAAGATCAGCTTCAATGTTGGTGAGCAGTTTATGCGTTGAAGATACAGATTCTTAGGCATAGAAGAGTGATGCCTTAAATGAAGGACTCCAGAATTAAACGTGCTTTAAATTTAAATGTGCAAAATATTTTCTTTTAAATATACAGTTCATCAGTTCATGTTCTATATGAACAATTTTTTAATTTCTGTTGTACTTTTGCGAGACCACCTGAATACCGTTTACATATTTCATGTCATGCAGTACATAGGAATTGCTGAAAATGTGTGATGGGAATATTGTATTCTGGTACTGCATCATGTCTTTCAGTCTGTCAGTGGCTGCAAAGGACTTTAGCAGCATGTCTAAGCATATCAAGCAAACGTGTGAAGAAGTGTGGTAGGGGCTTGATTCTTCTTTCTCCAGCCCTACTATAAGTTTGGACAATGTTTATAGCATTCTGCAGCTGTTGATCATCCTGGGATGCATGTCCAACAAGAAATCCTTATTGTCAGCTCAAATAAGAGTTTATCTGAGTTTAGAGGGTTGTTCTTAGGCTCTTCTCTCTCTGCAGTGAAATACCAGAATCTGATTAAATCAGTAAAATCTGATTAAACATTGGTTACAACTCAGCTATAGGAAAGTTTTGAAGCCTTATAAGCCATCCATGCTGTGTAACAGTGTATAAGCTTCTAGTTTTATATGTTAGAGTTAATCTTTTATTTTTGTTCAGATTATTGAGGTGAAGTATATTTTCTGTAATTTTTTTGCTTCAAGAATTGTTTTCTATGAACTTGAAATCAGTATTTCTCCTTGATGATAATTATTAGAAAAAAGATTTTTTTTAAAAAAATTTTTTTTTTTGCTAGCCTCATAAAACTGCTATTGTGACTAGAAGTCTTTGTTAATGAGTGTTGGGGTTATGGCTAGTTAAAGAAATTAAATATAGGTTGCAGAATGAAGATTGCAATTTTTCAGAATAAATTGTGATATATTTAAATGGAAGTATTTTTGTTACAAAGGATTTTTGTTAGTGATGTAACTTCATTAAGTCTTCCCCAGCAGGGCAGGCTGATCTTACTTGCTCCGGTATTTCTCCTCAAACAGCCTGGTGTTAAATTAACACCAGTGTTAGTAACTTGACTTGGTGTATGTTAGTCACTATGTTGGCAAGGGGTAGAGCATCTGTTGGCTACCATTTTTTTTCTCTTCCGATTTACATCTAGTGCATGACTCTTCTTTTTAGAGACATGAGTGAGGATGGGTGGAAATATCTGTTACGATAGGGCTATATTTAAGACAATATCAAAAGCTTGATTTAGTAGTTGCTGAAACATTTTGCCTCTTCCCCACTCTCGCCCTCCTTCCCCCCCCAATGTGATGAATTATTACTAGGTGTAGACATGGTTGAAATCAACAACGAGAGCTTTCATGGGAGTAGCAGTGCTCTAGGCAGCTAAAAACAAGAATCGATGGAATTGTCCTTTTACATACTGAGGATTTTCTTCAGCATCGTTTTTAAAGCATGTTCAGACTTTTTTTAAGACTTACTACAGAGAAACGTATTTTCTTCTTTTTTTTTTTCTTTTTTTCTGCTCTGTCCCCCAGATCAGAAGTTTTTGGTAATAAAAATACTGCATTTAGTATTAAGTTTAACTAAATCTAGGGCAGAAGCTAGGGGAGTTTCATATTCTGATCTCTGAAAGGATCAACAATGAAAACTTAGCGGACTTGCAACTCCTAAGGGCTTTGCAAATCAGTTGGTACCTGTAGTGGACTTCCTGCTCGATCATTTTTCTGTCACAGTAATGTAATCCCACATCCCCGACCAAGCCAATGAACAGCAAGATGATGATATTAGTTTGAGTGCTTGTTAAAACACTGCTGTGTTTTCCCCTTCCAAACACATATTAGTTGTGGCCTTGGGGGACCTGCATTTTCATGCTGTGGAAAAAAGAAATCAGCAAGAACACTTTGTAATTCCGTGCTTATTAGTGACTTCTTTTCAGCAGACAGGAGAAAATCCTGTGGTTTTTTTGTTTTTTTTTTTACCTGAAAGAATTTAAAATTTGGTCCAGGACGTGCAATTTAGGCTGTTAGAACCTGAGATGCTAAAATGCCTTTGAAAAATTCATAATTTGAAATTTAAGCTCACTTTAAGAGGATGTTAACTGTAGGTTTTATGAATGAAATACGGATGTGAAAGCTGGTCGTAGCTTCCTTGTGACTGAAGGAAGATTTGGCTTCTACATGGACAATCACTCTTACAAAATTCCTCCTCTTGTTACTTAATTAGTTCCTCCTCCTGAATTTCAGAAGACTGAAATTGTCTCTTGTCATTTCCAACAGACAGTATGTGATAAAGCACAGCAATGACAAGAATTGTGATTGATATGCTGCCCAGTCCACAGTTTGGGAGAAATCTCTGAATTTCCAGTAAAAGTGTGAGATTTAGATTTATTTTCTGAAGAACAGAGCTGACTTTGAGTATCCTCATATAATTGATAGTGCACGGCTCACAGCTCCTTAAAGTTGTTTGGTTTTTTTTTCAGGATTTTTCTGACTGAAAAGAACATCACATACAGTTTACTGTGAGTTCTTTCAGTCTTTGTGAAAAGAACTGGGTTTGTTCAAGGAATGGCTTTGCCTTTATAAGTGGTTTCTGGTGGTCTTCCAGTTCCTGTCCCTCTGGCTTGGAGCAGGTTGACAACATGCTGACTGAGGTCAAGTGAACAAGCTTAGAGAAGCTTTGCATTACAGCTCTCTCTAAGTGATTTCTACAAAATTTACCCCAGAAGTCTTTGTTTTGTAATTCATGCATTTGTTTTGTACTGCCAGTGGTGTTAATTAACACCACTTCAGTGTTAGTATACAATACTCTGGAAGAATCTAAGCATTCTGTGAATACTTTATATTATTCTGAACCAGTAAAAAAGCCATTTTCCTTAATTGATAAAAGGTTTCTTTTACTGATGAACCATTACTGAAAATTGTCAGTAATGACAGACGTTGTGTACACATATCTCTATAGCTTAAAATGCCTATTGAGTGGTAATGTAATAAGCATATGCCTTTCAAAAGTTTAATTAGTGTTTATATTTTTGTTTAGAATAAAGCAGTCCTACTAATATTACCAGGAGGAATGTGTTTTAAAAACTTTGATCGATACAATTTGTTCAGTTGTGCCTCAATGACTTGGTTATCTGACAGAACACTGCATGAAGTTATTAGAATTATTCTGGATCACTCTTCAATCAAGGATTTGTGAATGTGATTTCTGTACTTGCTTCCTCCAGTTTAAAATGAAAGGCTCTACTGCTTAAATTACTTGGATCCAAATGGAGTGAAGTCGTAATTCAAGATAAATAGTAAAGGAACTGCACCACAATGTGACAGAGTTGTGCCTGTGAACCATTAACAACCATTTGAAGCATGTTCTGTTCTGCTCAAGAGCCTTGCTGGAAAGTGCAGGAGGTGTCTGCCTGTCTGCCTCACCTTAGCTGCTCCATGCAGGATCAGGGAAAGCCTCCTGAGGGTTCATATGGACTCTTCCCTAAGAGCAGCTGAGCATGCTTGGGTGGAGGAAAGCTTCTTGTAGCACAGGGTGAGGCAGACAGCGGGTCTGTGCCCGAGAGATCCTGTCAGGAGGCCAAAAGCGAGCAGACAGGCTCTCATTAGCAGATACATACCTGGGCCTCAGAGATGAGACTTGTCCTGGAAATGTTGAGTAAAAGTTTTTCCGTCTTGCTACAGCACGAAGAGTTCCAAAGGGACTATAAGGGCATGGTAGGCAAGAGGGGATAAGGAGAATACAAGCGCTTTGTGAAGAGTTTCATTTACCTTGTGGTGTAATGAAGCCAGTTAGATTTAGCAAGTTTGGGCCGTAAAGAATACGGGGTAGCAATGATGCCTTAGAACTCTGTTTATGTTTGGGTCCTGTCATAGAAAAATAATCAGAAAACATTTATTTAAAAAATTGGTGCACTGGTTTTGTTTTTCTGTGAAGCGCAATTTCACCAAATGGTGTCTTCTACCTCTGTTGTTATTATGTGAAATGCAGATAGTCAGCAAGGTTCATGGATATCTGATATGTTTTTCAGAACTTTGCCAAGAATATTTTTGCGATTCTTCAATCAGTAAAAGCCAGAGAAGAAGGTCGAGCACCTGAGCAAAGACCTGCACCAAATACTGCACCAACGGTAAGAGCAGCACTTGGATGAATATGAAGGCTGTGACACCAAAAGTGAGAGTAGAGTATCTTATTATTAAATATGAAATTTGTTTCAGTTTAGTTCCAATGAATGCACAACTTTCAAGCATAGCTTCACAGATATTCTTTGACTTAAATTACATTTATTGGTATTTACAGAATTGAATATATTAATTTGTTCAATATGTTCTTGTTACTTAGAGATTAAACTGCTAGTGCCAGCTTCTGCATCTATCAAACACTAGCGACATCCTGCATCTATTTGCAAAAAATGTATTAGATGAGACTACTGCCATTTCAAACAAAATGGTTTGCTGTTTTTCTGACAGATAGGGTAGCAAATGTTTAAGAATCTGGAACATGACTCATGAGTGGGAACAGCTTGAACCAGCTTTCTTTTGCCTGTAATAAATCAGGACGACAGACTAAGAGCTTTATTGCTTAAGTCTATCTAGGTATTGGACAGGATTTGTTTTGTATTGTGGTGTTTACTATTGAGTTCTATTAAACCTGATATATTCTAGAACTCAGTGGCAGTCTGCTATAAAAGCTATTTAATCGTCCTTGGGTTTGTTTTTGCTGCTACTGCATTTAACAAAGAACTAAATTTAAATAGCAAGATGAATTCCAACATTTAAATATTTGCTTTGTGTTGAATTTTGTAAATTGTTCATGGGACTATTCAAATGTCCCATTCAGAATAGTTGTGAATTCATAACTAAGCCATCCACAAAAAAGATTGAATTGGTATTTAGTGTACCTCTAGATTGGTGCTTTTTAAAAACTTTTTTCCCAGAATGCCTTTTTTCCCTCCAAATTTGTTTTTGTTCTGTAAATTTAGCAGAATTTTAACTTAATCAGGCTGGCAAGGAACATTTTGCGTGTGTGGCTGAAGGCTTAATCATGAGTTGTCAGTTGGCAGGTTTTTTTCCCCTGCTAATTCTTGAGATATTACAAAAACGCAGTGATTTCATAAAACTTAGAGATTTTAGCTAATGTAGTTTGTTACTGCTACTTTAGTTTTGCCTCAGGTTGTTGTCATTGCTTTCAGTATATACTTCTAAACTCAGTTTCTGTAAGATTGTAAGTGGATGTTGAAGGGAAACATACCAGAAATTTTCAAATGCATTGAAACTCCTACAAAAGTGAACTAATTTTATACTCTTGAGCAGTTCCATGTAATAGTTTATGAAGTTCAAAAAAAATCAAATATCTTGTAGTATGTTTTAAAAATCTTATTTAACCTGTTTTAGGATCCCACTTTACGAAATAAGCAACCTATTCCAGCTGCCTACAACAGATACGATCAGGAAAGATTCAAAGGCAAAGAGGGTAAGTTGATTGTAACGCTTCTTTTAAAAGAAAAAAAAATTGGGAAATGAAACCAACGAGTTATAAAGCTCGGGTTAGGGGACTTTGTGCCATTACTTTTCAAACCTAAGAAAGACCAAAAAAAAAGCTGTAACTATGCCTAAAGATGGCTTTTCCAAGTAATAAAGTCTAAAAATATTACTTACTAGAAATTATTTCTACCTCTTAGGAAGCAAACTGAAAGCATAAAACCAGAACTTCTTGGGGAAAAAAAAATTAATTATTTGTTTGGGGAAGGTCATATGCAATTAATAAAAAAGCAGAACTGCAAATATGACTGTCAGGGGCATAAAATGAAATAGATTGCTTGTCCTCAGTTACAATTACTTTACAGGTTGCTTCCAGCAATTACAAGTAAATATTATTAGCTTGTTATGTCTCTTTAAATTACGAAACACACTGGTAACAGTAGTGCAAAATATTAGCTCCCTTCTGAAGAGATGGAAATAATCTACAATATTAAGAATTCTCACTTATTTTAAAACGGGGTGGAAGGTTGAACTTGAGTGATGATTTGCCTAACTCAAAATTTTTCTTCTGTCCCCCTTGCTTTTTTTTATCTTCTGTTTTAGTACCAGTTCTAGTTATTTTATGTTCGTGTCTTGCTGTATTTTTATTTTGCAAATCTTGTGTGTGTTGTGGTTGGATGTTTTTGTGTTTCTTGCAGAGGGCAAGGCAAATTTTGTTACACTTCTGAGTTGCCTCTTCTAGCTCTCAAACAAAATCATTCTCTTCTTTAATGAAACTTCCTATGCATGCTTTTAAGGGCTTTCTTTTCTGGCTGCAAGAACTTACATGCTGCTAAATGCCATTTTAAACTGTAGATGAGCAGTTCAACTTGCATCTTTTAGATTATTTGGCTTTGTCCAAGTTAGCACCATTTTTTGTTCAGAGAATGAATAACATTCGTATGCTGTGTATGTGAATTCTCAGATTTTGGAAGTGCTGTACTGTGGCTGATTGTGTTCAATTTTTTATTGAAATGACATGATTGTTTTGCTATATAAATAAAAAGCAAGCGTATATTACAGTACTACTTGGATATTCAGTTTTGATTGTAACTGGAGAAAGAAAAGCATAAAATATAACACCAAGGAGAATTTCATGCCATAAGAAACTTGTGAAGGTTATGTTTTCCATGCACCTCATACTGGATAATGTACAAGAATTTCAGAATCTGACTGTAGCCATCTCTGAAGTTATATTAAAAAAAAAAAAGTTTTGTAAAGATGCACTTATATGTGAATACATCTTTAGGTTTATGGGGCTTTTTGTGTGTGTGAAACTTTCTGTAGGAAATTTAGTCAGATATTCTATTATATCCTCTTGAAGTCTATTCCCTGTTGGCCTCAATATACTTAGTAGTATATTATATAGTTATATATACTATATACTCATTGACAATTGCATGAGGGGTAGGAGAGAAAAGCTGAAGCAGGATATTTTCTAGCTTTTTCAGCATTAAAAAATAATCTACAAATAGCATCCGTCAAGAATTCATTGTAATAATAAGAGCCAAGGGAATTTGGGAAAGAAAGGAACAAAAAAACCAAACCAACCCTTCCATGAATATTTTTACTAGTCCTTCTTCAGTTTGCTTCTGATAATGTTTTAAATCTTCAAGACTTGCGTATTTGCCAAGTAGTTTTCCTTTACTACCATTTCCTATTGAGAGTTAAAAACAGTAAATATCTGTACTGGGCAGTATGAAATAAAAGGTCGAGAAAGAAATTAATGGACAAGTGTAACAGTTCAAATGTACCAATGCATATGATTCATTGTGGACTCTTTTACACGTTTATGGAAAGCTTGAAGTATTGGGGATTTTGGGAAAGAAGTCTGAAGGAAAAGAAGGATTTAAGTTCTAGGTATAATAACTTGCAGTCTTTATACCATTGTATGCATGTTTATTAGTAATGATGGATAACACCTGAGATAAAGTTGAACCCTATGGATTTGTATAAGTGAAGGGTTTCCATGTCTTACCCTATATGACTGTGCGTGTCGTTGGCTAGAGATTGTGGAAGGGAGAATTGTATGATGCGTTTAACAATGTGCGTAGTAGTGATTTTGGCTAAAGATTGAAACGAAGCCAAGAGAGGCAACGTCTCTAAGCTTTTGTCTTTGTGTCTCACCTATTTGCTCTTTCCTCAGAGGTACTGAAACTATAGGAAGGATTCACAGTACTCCTCTCCTAGTTGCATCATGATTGCGGCTTATTGTCTATCTGCAGTTTCATACAATACTATGGTATTCATGAAGTTTAAAGTTTAGGCAAAGAGGTGAACTGTTTTTTCTTTGAATATTTGTGTGGCTTAATACAGAATTTTTCCATTAACAGTCTTGTTCTTAGTGTAAACAATTCAAAGCTCATAGAGCTAAGAGAGTAAATTTAGGAATTCTAACACAAGATGCATTAAGTAAACTGCTGAGTTGCAGCCAAATTTCTCTGCTTCTTGTGATGGATCATTATTTCCGATGTGGTGTATCGGGATGCCTCTCTGGTTGGCTTCCTTAAAACCTTCATGCCAGATGGGACAGGCTTTGCTGCTAGAATGGTTTAGATTGCTTTTATAGTAAATGTGAGGGGGGTGGTGGTGGTAATTGTAAGGTACTATTCTTGAAGAGCAACTAATCAGTTACACCTGCAGTCAGTGGAACTGCTTATGCAGCCCTGAGTCAGTCAGTTGAGAGAATGCACCATTCTCTCAAATGGGTGTCTTGTCACTGCAGCTTTGGTTAGGCAGGAGAGAGAAATCTTTCCTTTGACATTCTTAAAGTTCTGTGACACATGCCATAGGAAATGTATTAGAATGTCTCTTGCGGTAGGACTCATACGTCCTAGATATTTCCACAGTGGAAGAACATGTTTGGAGTGCACCCATGATGCTGAACTGTTCAAATGGTTTTGAGGTGAGGAGGTGAATGCCCTGCAATTGCTTTTCTTGACCACTTTTCCCTTCCTGTTGGTTTTGTTTCTTTCAGGCTGGCAGTCAGTGATGGTATCCTCTCTTCAACAACATAGAGCTCCATTCTGTGCTAAACTTTCTCTACTTTTCCCTTTGTAGTTTTATTCCTTCATATTATTCCCTTTAGCTTATTTTTATGCTTTATTAATGTCATTTATTAATATGCATCTTTCCTAGTGATATTTCATTCATGCCACAGACCATCTCATTCAAACTACAGTCTGTCATACCTTCTTGAGCAACATAATTTTTAAATCCTTTTCAGTATTTAAAAAATCCTGTGCCTAAATGTCATTTGATGCTTAGGAAGGTATCTCATGTCCTCTCCTGTGTGCCTCAATGTTTGATATTTAAATACATATTTACTAATGTATATGGTTTGCAGCTCAGCTAGTGGTATACTGAAACTTTGAGCTGATGTGATTGTTCTATAGGACATTCTAGCTATTAAACTGTTTTGGATGCTATACCTTGTTTTTTTACCCCAGTTTTTTGGGTGGCTTTACCTGAGATCCTCCTTTTCACATGCTTGTTTCTTTGGTAATTTCAGAGTGTGAAGTAGTGCTGGGATGATAATCTTGAAGATTTAATGTTTTCTTGATCCATTGAGTGCATCTCTCAGTATAGATGGCAAAGTAAAGTTTCTCTGTGCTGCTCCGAGTGTTAGGTCTTTAAGGTATGTTCCAGGAGTGTTGTTCTTGTTTGCCTGCTGTTGTTGGTGTCAAGGTTTCAACACAGCAGAAGCCAATTGTTATTTAAAAACAAAACCAAACCAACAACTTTTAGTCCTGTTTGGTGTAAATTGGAGAAGGTCTTGCTGTACAGCCAAGCGATTTCAGTCCGTAATGGTGAAAAGAATATTGTTTACCACATACAAGTGTTTCCTTCAGAAAAGCTTACTGTTGACTTCCTGTTACTGTCATTTTATGTTTGAATTATTCTTGTAATTGTGTTGGATTTTCAAATATAGCTGCAGTTTTTCAGAGGTATGCCTGGCTTTCAATCAGTCGTAAGTGTTAAGCCTAGGCAACAGAGGACTATGAAGTTTTTAAACTTGAGGTGACGCTGGACAATAATTTTTTTTTCTCTCTCCTATACATTGTTAAGAAAGTTTCTTTATAAAGTATTTCTCATTATAAGTATTTTCTTTTAAATTGTGTGATTTCTGTTTACACAGGGAGAATAGGAGAACTGGTAGCAGGAGATCCAGAGTTCTGAAACTTGACTCTTAGACTTTTATTTATTGCATTCATTTTTAAGGTTATAGGTTTCTGCTTTTTTCCTAGCAGAGAATATGTGCAAGAGACTTACATTTGGAAAAAGACTGCGGTCTGTCTCTATTTTCTGGCTTGGTGTGACCAAGTAGATGGATAACTTTAAGTACTGTACCTTTACTTCAGTGCTGGAAAACACACATGGATTCATACGGTGATTTTTTTTTTTTTATTAGTACTGTGAGAAACTTTTAAGAACTTGGTGTTAATTGCTTGTAAAATTATTACTGAACTGTTATAGATGAACTGTGCAGAGAATTTTGTAAACTAATTAGTGTAGCTTGGAAATTTAGGCGTGAAACTTTTAACTTTTACTTGTTAGGGTATAGTACTGAAAAGGAGTGTTCAGTAAACTCTTATGTAGAATGAAATTTGGTGTCAGTGATTTAATTACCATGGGTGTGAAGTGGGGTAGTGAATCATTTCCAGGCAGTCTGCAGAGCTGTTGCTATCTGGGGTTTGAAGAGTATACAGCTGAAAAAAGAAGTGGTTATTCAATCTTATTCATCCACGAATCAAACAGTCTTTAACCTGAGTTCTTCAGTATTTCAGAGAAATGCTCCTTTGTTCTGTTTCTGTTTGCCTAGACTTCCTTCCAGAAATTCAGGTTAATTTGAGTCTTTTTAAAGCTATTATTCTTTTTGGTAATGTATCAGTGCTCAAGTTTGCACCTGGATTGGATGGCTAAAGCTGCAGCAGGTGCAGAATCAAAATGTGGAGTGGCCTAGATTGACATAGAGCAGTGGGCTTTAAGCAAATGGAAGGCACTTTGAGCATTAATACTTGTATGCAACGAAATGGTACATATGCCCAAATGGTGATGTAGACTATAATCAGTCCAATAAGCTGATGCATTAGTGTGCATATTTTCATTTCCAGGTCTAATTCTTTTAAATGAGAGGAGGTACTCAGATTGATGCACGGTGATGCTAGAAAGGTAATGAGTGATGAACCACACTGGAAAAGTGTATGACTCTTTTGGCAGTCTTTAGGTCATTGAACTGTGAAATTGTGATCATAATACATGCAGTGGCTGGAGGAGAAAAGATAGTCTTAATGTTAACTGATGATAGTTTATCTTTTTGAAGCATTAGTATTGATTATTCAGTACTAGTTATTGTGTTTAGTCTCTAAAGATGTAGTTTTTAAGGCATTTGTTGATGTCGGTGTTTTTAACAAGGCTTATATGTTTATAAAAGTGGTTATACTTGGCAAACACAAGTTGCAACACAGTTTGTCACAATACATTAATGTTGGGCTTTGTTTGCATTCTTTACTCCTTAGTGTTAGACCTGTGTTTAAAGTATTTAATATGGATTGCTTTTTGCCTAAAGGAAATGTGTATGATAACTTTGTTGTAATTTTATTGAAAAATCCCAATGTATTGAAGATTCTCAAGTAGGGGTTTTTTTAGCAGTTGTTCTGCATCTAATTCCAAGTTTAAAAAAGCAGGTTTCAAAGTCTTGCCATCGTGATACTTTTATTTAAAGGGCTCTTTTCTTCTTAAATACCTTTTTCTTAGTAGTTAGCTTATAATTTTATCTGCTTTCTCTATTATTACCATCAGTGAAGCTGTGATTTTGAAACTGGAGTTGCAAACTAATTCTTGGCCAGGCATTAATATTCCATCTCTGTGCTGGTGCATGACTCAGCAGCACAAGTTCGAGCTGGTTTGGAAGGGAGGGGAGAAACATGCTGCTTTTGTGCTCTTAGTCAGAGGATATGGTACAGCATATATGCTGATGTATGCTGGGGGCATGTACCCTGGTGCTCCTGGTTGCTCCAAGCTGCTCGTTACTGTGGCTCGTCTTGTATCCCAGGTCTGCTTTTGAGCAGCTGTATCATGGTCAGCCACTGCTCTTGGAGAATGCTCTGGAAGAAGGGCCTCTCTGCTTTCTAGCCTGGTCCTTGATTGTCTTTTACAACCAGCTGTATTAACCTGGCTAACACCCTCAGCAATTTTTGAAGTGGGAATGCAGCTGGAACTGTAGAGTCCCTGACTCAGAAGCATTTGTTTTCTGCTTTGCATAGGCTGTGTACAGTGAGTGGGGATGAAGGTACTACTGTATGTGGCCGAGCGTACAAATTGTTGAGACCTTATAAAAAGGCACAAAAGTGCAAGTGGCAGGGCTCTTGCTTGTAGCAGTGTTTATTTCTGTAAGAAAAGTGAGTGGCTGACTGGTAGAATATCACATGGTGAATGTGAGAGGATCAGGTCAAAAAAGGTATATTATGAGAAAAGAGCGTCCGTGCTGTTACCAGTTAAAGGAGGGCTGCTGTGGTTATCTGGAAGCTGGCAATGCTTAATTCTCATTCACCAGTTGCTTGGGAGTTTGAGGTAGGAAATTTGAGAGCTGGTGGGCAGTTTGGGAGGTGGCTGCTTCTATTCATCCCACCCTACCTGCAGGTAGCAGACCCTGGAGTCGGCAGTAGACCTCATAGTGGCTGCAGTAACTGTTTGCAAGAATGTAAGTGGGTACCTACATTCTCCTTTGACCATTTAGCATCTCTTAGATTTACATAAATAAGGAAAAGTACTATGCCATTATTTACAGATTATCAGAACTGTTTTATTTATTACCTGAGTAGCTGTTAAATAGCATTGGAAGGCCTGTGTAGCTGCTGGAAACGTTCAGCAGGCAAGAGTGCCCACTAATGCTTGAGGCAACAGGTGGCTCTTCAGGATCCTAGTTGTTTGCTCCTCCTGCTAGGAGGAAGGGTCAGCACAAGGCTGGGCGCAGGAAGCTGGTGAGAGCCAGAGCCTCTGTTTAGTGGCTCTTGTGGCTCATTAAATGAACCAGGACACATTTTATCAGGGACTTGGGGAGATTTTTGCAAAAGGTGAAACCAGTGGCGGCTGAGCAGAAGATTGTTCCCTGCCAGATGCCTCTCTCCCCTTTGATTTACTTTCGAACTGTGCTGCTGGCTCTGTGGGCCCCTATTCCCTTTGCAATGCTGATGGAGACTTGGGTTAGGGTTTTTTAATTCATTAAGAAGGAATGCAAAGTTTTATTAGGGACAAAGTAGAAAGAGTCCAGTGGAAAGAAAGAACTGAAACAGGGAACAAACGTGTAGAACTAATTATAGAACCAGGATTTGTGCTGGGAGGAAAGGAACCATGGCAGGCCAGGCACAACAGGGTGCTACTTTGCTGGTCTTGTTAAGGGGTGTCTGTATTTTTTGGAGTTTGGGAAGAACATCTGGTCGAAATAGTTGGAAATTCTCCATGTCACAGGTGAAAGGAACCCATAATAGGTCAGTCTGGAAAGGTTCCTCTGTTGGTTACCTGAAATTCACAAACAACTGTCAGCCTAGATTATACACGTCTGATTTATGTCACACCAGGTCAGCAAAAGCATATCTTTAACTTAAGGGAGCTCTACCAAGTATTCTGCAAGGCTCCAGGCACCACCTGAAATATTAATATGCTTCTTGCCCAGAAACAGTGACCTATATAGTCAAAGAGAAAACTGCTTTCCATGGAAGTGTTGATCGGATGCAGCTTCACTATCTTTAGCTCAAGTTCAGCTGTATGAGCCCTGAGCTAAGACTCAATACATAATTACATCTTGGGGTTGGGGGGAAGGGTCATAGGGCAATATCAATTTATAAAGGGAAATATAGTCAAAGAGAAAACTGCTTTCCATGGAAGTGTGGATCGGATGCAGCTTCACTATCTTTAGCTCAAGTTCAGCTGTATGAGCCCGAGCTAAGACCTCAATACATAATTACATCTTGGGGTTGGGGGGAAGGGTCATAGGGCAATATCAATTTATAAAGGGAAGCTAGGCTTCTCTTTCTTTTTTTTTTTTTTCGTAGAGAAAACTGCATTCATGTCTGTCTGTACCTGCATTTTGCTTTCTCAGAATCAATTCTGTGTAGTTCAGAAATGTTAAATCCAGCAGAACGGGAGGGGTGGGCTTGTGAAGCCAAGATGAAGAAGTGCTGGAGCTGAGGTGACTTCGTATAAAACAAAACATGGTCCGTAACACCAGGCCTCTCCACTTGGTAGTTGGTGGTAGGTCTTGTAGCATAATCGAGGGGGGGAAGGTAAAACCAAAAACAGTGTTCAGAAAGTAGATACCTATCTGTGTGGTGAGAGGACTATGATCAGTTTTCAATTCTTGGGTATCTTTTTCTAGGCACTGGAGAGTTATTAAATCTGGGAAACTTTTCTGCCTCATTTCCTACAAGTGGCTGATAATCTTTCTCATCTAAGGAAGAAAGAATGAGCAACCATAGATGCTTCCCAGAGCATCTGCATTGTTTTCAAGGTTGTCTGGGTTTCAATTTAAGTTAATTTTCTCATGATAAGAGCTAGAAGCTCTAACAGTCTTGAAAATCTAATGTTTTTCTTGGACTTTTTGCAGATTCAGGTATGAACATTACTTTGATTCTGCATTATTTTTGGTCTGTTATGTTTTTGTGCTGATGCATTGTGTGAAGGTGATGTAATAAATGGCAATAATCTTCTAATTCCCAATAGCTGTTTCTGCACAGTATCAGTTACCTTTACCCAAGTCTAGTTGAAATAGCCCAAAAGTTGCTTAGGCGTAGACAAACGCTTGCTTATCATGGTTTGATTGGAGATTATCATGCCATTTTAAAGTATGAATTAATTGGGTGGTTGGTTGATAGTGTCAGTTGACAGTAGATGCATGAGGCTAGGGAATTTACAAAAGGAAGAAGGTTTTCTTGCAAGTGCTGGTGGCAATATTCAGGATCTGACTTTGATCTTAGAGCGCTGAAAATAGGAGGACAGAGAAGGAGTATTCAAAAGCAAACTGGCTTGTGGCAGCAGGTTTAGTCACTGAGCACTTGCAGGCTTCTGGCACTTACTCAGCATAAATTCAGTCTGATTAAAACTACTTAAAAACCCCAAAACAACCCTTTTATCACCTTTAGTCTGGTAGTGTGAATTTATGCAGATTCTATCCTCTGCATCATATGAGAATGACATTGTTGCTCTTCTGCACTCCAGAAGTGAATTTATCATGTTAAGTGGCCACGGTTTTATAGTCAGCATATAAACCGGTTTCTTATTATGTATGTTTTTCCATTAATACAGCTACAAGTTGAATATGTTGCATTATAATGCATTCTGGGAATATGAGGTACTTCTCCATTTTGTAGTGAAGAGAATTTCTGAGACTGCATGCATGTTGTAACATATTCTCACAAAGATTTAAATTTATATCCTCTCTCTGGAGTGGTTTGAATGATTCTGTGCAGCAGGAAAAGCTTTCTCTGGTTACAGAAAGCAGAAATACCAAATGGACCTCTGTCTAAAGAAAACACAGATTTCCTAATTGCTAACCAGGTTTTGTATTGTGAACAGACCCTAAACCACTACCAACAGCAAGATGCGTTCTTTGCAAAAATAATTCCAAAGGTATTTCCAGCGTTGTCCATTTAGACATGACGTCCCTATGTTCATAATGATTTACAGGACACTTTTTTCCTTTGCAGAAACGGAAGGCTTTAAAATTGATACCATGGGCACCTATCATGGAATGACTCTGAAGTCTGTAACGGTAAGCTAAAAGTCTTTTCTTAAATATGTTTTATAGAAGTGATCATGTACTTAGATATCTATCTATCTTGTCAGCCTGGCCTAGGCTCTGGAAGGTCACTTTGGTTGACTAGCAGAATTGATGAAAGTTCTTCTCTGTGAAAAGATAAAACATGTTTTGATTTGGTCTGCACATTTTAGAGATCTTTGCTGAAGGGATTTGTCTGCAGTAAAAAGGTGTGCTGGGAAGGCTTCGCTGGCAGGTTCTTCTTGTGGAGGTGCAGCCTTTTTGTGTTCGACTAGAAGATACCCAGATTTTTGCTAGCCTTATGTATGTCTATGAAGCACATCTTTCATAATTGTAAGTGATAAAACTATACTCACAAAACTGAAGTAATAAAACTAGGTTTTGGAGTATCGCTCTGTTTCCTGCTCTGCGTTTAATAATAAATTTGTTTAGTGGTGGAAGAAGTTGACCTCTGCATTACTGTTGAAGCTTTCTAGCCTAGTGAGATGGACTTCTTTGTATGACTTTACAATGCTGTCAGTGGGAATTGCTACATACAGATAAGAAAGAGACACCCTCAAACAGATTTCTTTTTTTTTTTTTTGGCCAATATTTGTCTGCTTTTTGAATGCTCTCAAACAAATGCTGTTTTGATCTGCTAGTAAGCAGGACAGATGCTACAAAACTAATGTAGAGCCCTCATTAAGGTTTTTGCCATCTGCATACCTATATGAATCTGATGAATAGACAGCACTAAACACTCTCCTAAATCCATGCGCTACTTCTAGTTTGCACTCCTAATTTTAACATAAAATAATATCTTGAATGTAAATCTCTTAAAAACATTTAGAGTTTTTTCTTGTTTGATAAAAGTTCTTGCCCAAGTCTTTCATTCTCAACCTCCTCTGTACTTAAAATACTTAAAAAAAAAATATGGAAGGGAGTATTTTAAGGAAGGAATCTACTTAGTTCTATACAGTGTTGTTTCTAGATTAATTCAGAAATTGATTGGGTGAAGGAAGAAAATAACCCATTATGTCCAAAGATTTGTTCTACAACCTTGCATGAATTTAGGGCTGCTTTATGAGGGATCAGTGTTGTTATACCAAACCTAGGTTTCTATGGTATAGTGTATCTGTTTCAAGTGGTGATGACTTGAAATGACTTAGTAAATAACTTAGTAAATAGGTTCTGTTTAAATTGTCCTGTGGGGTGGAAAAAGAAAGAAAGAAGGAAAAAAAAAAAAAAGCAAGATT